GTCCTGCACTGTGATAACGCCAAAGCCTGTTGGCATGCATCACTTTTGGCTTACCTCGTCGACCACATTTTACCCGGAAAGTCACATCTGAGAGACGATCCACTATGTCATATGGGCCTTCCCATGGAGAAGACAACTTAGGAGACTTCCCTTTGGTCTTCCTGGGATTATACAACCACACCATGTCTCCTCGTACAAAGCTGACTTCAGTAGATATCTTATCATAATATAGCTTCATGGAATCAACAGAATCAAGTTTGAATGCACTTGATGATGAATATCATCCATCTTTTCACGAACTCTGACACATTTTCAGGCAACTCTTCGTAAGGTGGGCGTCCTGTTATCAGATCCACTGGCAACCGAAGTTCGCGACCAAACATCAACTTTGCTGGAATCTATCCAGTGGTTTCATGCTCTGCTGTTCTATAGGCCATCAACAGTTGAGGGAGTAAGACATCACAGTCATCTTGGTGGCTATTACAAAACTTTGTCAACTCCTGTCCCAGTGTCCAATTGTACTTTTCTACCATCCCATCGGACTGTGGGTGAAGTGGCGTTGTCCTGGTCTTTCATATGCCAATCAAATTGCAGCATTCATGAAATACAGCTGATTCAAAGTTACGAACTTGATCCGAATGCAGTTTGTATGGCATACCAAATCTGAAGAAGAAATTGCTAATAGCCGAAGCTATAGTTGTAGCTACCTGATTTGGTATTGCATATGCCTCAGGCCACTTGGTGAAATAATCCATCACCACACAAATGTACTTGTTTCCAGCACGAGATTGGGGCAAAGGACCAGCAATGTCAATGGCTACTCTTTCCATTGGTGTGCCAACTTGATATAACTTCATTGGAGCACGTCCTATATGCTTGGGTCCCTTTTTAGCACAACATGTACTGCATGTCTCACACCATTCTTCCACATTTTGCCTCATACCTATCCAGTAAAATCTCAGTCGTAGGTGACTCAATGTCTTCTTAACTCTGAGATGACCTCCTGTTAAACTATCATGGGATTGATGCAGCACATTTTCCCATAACTTTCTCGGTATAACTGTTTGCCAGGTCGTCACTTTCCCATCTCCGGAGAAGAATACCATCTTCAAGCTTCAACTAGTCCCATTGTACCCAATAGTTCTTTATCACAGGGCTTAAGCTTGACACCTTCTCCCAAGCAGGGTGCAAAACACTTCCTTTTAGAAAATTAATTATTGGCTTCAAATCTTGGTCTTTCTCCTGCTCTGCTTTAATATATATACCTGGTTCCACTTGACCATCATCAACTCCTTCAGTCACTTTAACTTCAGCTTGATGACACCTGGTTAATTCAACCTCTCTTTTAACACTTCCCGGAATTTGGCCTTTGTTGTTCCCAAACGTCATTTTATCAAAAATTAATTACACACTTCCTCGGTAGTAAGTAGTCCATCCCTAATATGCATGGGTCTTCAATGTCAGCCAAGTATACTTTGTGTCTGTCCTTCATGCCTATGAGCTCAATAGCTACCCACACTGGTCCCCACAACCTTGCACAATGTCCTGTCACACCACAGAGCTTCTGTATGGCTTCTGGTACTCCTTTGTGATCTTGCATCTTGATACTCACAAGGGTTTGCTGAGATGCAGAATCTATGCCAAAATTGCACTTTTGGCCAACCAGCTTTCCTGTCACTTAGACACTATGTGTGCTTGCAATTTTACACCTAGCTGTTGGGACTTTCACGATGAGGTATGATGGGTATCGCTCAACACCAACCACTACTGGTCTCTCTTCTCGTTTATGTTCTCGTTCTTCTTGTTTCTTTTCTTTTTCCTCCAACAGCTGTTGTAATGTCTTTTGTTTATTTTGCTGTTCGAGCTACCACTGTTGCAGGTTTTCTTGCCACTGCTGTTGTGTCTCTTCTTGTTTCTTTTCTGGTTTTTCTTGTTTCTTTTTTTTCCTCCAACAACTGCTGTAATCTCTCTTCTTGTTTCTTTTCTCGTTCTTCTTGTTTATTCTCTCGTTCTTCTTGTTTCTTTTGCTGTTCTTGTATTACTGCCATCAAATCTGCTAAGCTGTAGTTTGCTTTTCCACTTCTCGTTTCCATCTTCTTTTTCTTGTTTTTCAATCCCCCTTCTGACACCAATTTGTTACGTCTCTGGTCGTTTGTTAATTCCCGTTAAAATTCTTCCCGAGGAACTTCAGCGATACAAGTCCATTCTTAAATAAAACTAGTTTATTCTTCCTCAATACAACTTTGCAATACACAGAATTTCCACAATCACTTTAACTTAAACACACGCTATAATTCACAATGATTTACACACTTTACTTACGGATTGACTCGATTATCCCGTTATCAATTTATCTGCTGGCTTATATACTAAAATAGAGGGCGTCTAGCAAACGCTGGGATGTTCGTGAGGTTCCCAGGTCATTCCAGAATCTCATCACGTGTTACCAACGTCACGTGACTTCCGCTGTCATAACACACTGAAGAAAGGGTTAGATTTAGTAACCCAACTAACTTATGATAATCAGAAATGAGCCTTCCTATATTATTCCTCAAAGTTCTTAATTCATTCCTAAAATTTTGCTTACTCTTAATGTATTTAAAGGATTCCTTATTCTCGATGTTTACATTTTCAGCTATCTTTCTTCATATACCCTTTTTCTTTCCTATTGTCCTGTTTGACCAACTCCTTTGATCTTCCATAATCCTCCAATTCTTCTTTCATAGCAGTCAATTAAAACATCTTGAATTTATAATACTTTTCTTTAATTTATCTCTTAAACTCTTTGTGAGTCAACCAAGTTTTTTACTTTTAGCCACCCTTTTTTTTTTTGGCCCGACATGGCCAGGTGGTTACGGCACTCGACTCGCAATCTGAGGGGTGCGGGTTCGAATCCCAGTCACACCAAACATGCTCGCCCTTTCAGCTGGGATGGTCATTGGCATAATAGTATATGTCGGGCCTGGCATGGCCTGGTGGTTATGACACTCACCTCGCAATCTGTGGACCGTTAGAATTCCCGTCACACAGAACATTCTCGCCCTTTCAGTCGTGGGAGCATTATAAAGTGACGGTCAATCCCACTATTCGTTGGTAAAAGAGTAGCTCAAGAGTTGGCAGTGGGTGGTGTTGACTAGCTGCCTTCCCTCTAGCCTATCATTGCTAAATTATGGACAGCTAGCGTAGATAACCCTCGTGCAGCTTTACACAAAAATTCAAAACAATCCAAAACAAATAACTATACATTGACTAGTTACATCAGCACACGACAAATGAGCCTCCGGTGAATTGGCTTAAAAAAGACACCGAAAAGGAGATAGTTGAGACAGATATGAATGGGGAATCTTTCTTGCTCCAGTCTGACCCTGGAAAGGAAGATGAAAGAGCTCAAAGAAGATATTTGACTGTTCATGATGAATCAAGATCTACATTGCTCCAACAGTCCACATAACCACTGCTATCAGCCCTCGATCAATATGCCTAGTATTAGCTTCAGTAACAATTATAGTTTATAGTAGGAGAGTTGCTGATTGCTCCAACAGTCCACATAACTACTGCTATTGACCTCTCGATCAATATGTCTAGGATTAGCCTCAGTAACAATAATAGGACAGTTATTGATTGTAAAATTATTGGCTGAAATGAAATGGTGATTTTTGCTTTCCAAGCTAACAAGTGATGTTAACCAGTAAATATAATGCCTAGTGTATTACACGTTTTTACAACTGGAGAAGATAGCTCTTCGTGATCTATCAAGTGTTATTGTAAGGTATGACGTACACATTATCAATTGCAAGTAATCATTGTGCAGTTAGATTTAACATTTTGCTGCATATGGATATCGAATAATGAGATTTTTATTACAAATTGCGAAGGGATATAACAAAAATTATTTGTTGTGAACTAGACAACTGATTTAATAGTAGATATTGATCAAATGTTGAAAATGTTTAGCAATCAATTTTTAACTTATATAGATAGACATGTTCGTTATAGAAAAAAGGGTGGTTTGTTTTGTTTTTTTGTTTGTTTTTTGAATTTCGCGCAAAGCTACACGAGGGCTATCTGCGCTAGCCGTCCCTAATTTAGCAGTGTAAGACTAGAGGGAAGGCAGATAGTCATCACCACCCACCGCCAACTCTTGGGCTACTCTTTTACCAACGAAGTCTATTTAATCTTTTTTATTTTTTCGATTCTTCCTTGTCCATGGTCACTGATAGTGAGAAATTCTTCGATACCGGTATAACTCAGTTACAAGTGGTAAATCGAATGATAGATTAGACTTCGCGTATATTTTTTAATATACTGTACTATTACTTTTTGTTTTATTTTTGCTGCCATCTGTTTTTCAACTGGAAATTTAAAAAGTTGCCTAAAATCGTGTTTTTCTCGTTCAAGTTGTTACTCAAATTTTACTGGTCTATAAGTATTATTATCTCGTCTCTGTAATTTTGTTATTTTGCTATATGCACATATCTAAAATTTCATAAACCTGTGTTATTGTTTCAAAATAAAAAAATGTAATAATTGTTATTATGAGGTATATTTTGCAATTATGATATGTTTCCAATTCAATTAAAACAGCATTCTATACAATTATATTCTTCGTAATCATCTTGCAATCAAACATTAATTCATTGTCATTCTTTTATTTCCAGGTAATTTTGCCTAAATTATTAAACTATATTTTTTAGCTAAAAATTGTTTTTATAATTTACCTTTCGAATTTTATCTAAACTATATATTTGTGGACATTTTTGGCAGCTCTTCTTTTTGGTAGACTCTCTTTCTCTCTGGTGAAATACTTATACATTTATTACCTTTCTTTTACTTTTAAATTTATAATTCATATAGACATTAATGTAAGCTATGATATTTGATGATTACTTTGGTCTAGGAAACTGTGAAATTACTTTGTATAAGAGGGCTTTCAGATTTTTTCACACCAATAGCAAACTTTATACTTCATGACGTCAAACCGTCATTGGTCATAATTTCGTCATTTTGATTTTTGCGGAAGTGGTTTGAGGAGCGGATTCTTGATAAGCAAATAAGTAGTTTTGTAATGGTACCTTAGGCTTAAGAAAAATTGATACGAAAGCGGTCATAATTGCTCTCGTAATCAACGATTATTTTGTTGCAAGTTTTATAAGACTTTTCACAATTATATTAAATTATAAACGTTTGAAAATGCCTGCTGTATTCCTTGACAGATTACCACTCCCAAGTTTACAAGCCTACACTGCTGTCAGTGTATTACTTCTTTCGTGCTCAGTTTATTATGCTGTGCAGATTACATCAGATCCCGAGTGGAAGTTAAATGCAACACTTGAATTTGAGAATAATGAAGGAGCCAAAAATCAGACTATAGAAAACCGGAGAGAATTATCATTTGATGAGGTATTATTGGAAAATAAAATCTTCCGTCGATTACTCGAGATTGTGATATTTATGATTCAGGAACCTCTGTGCATTTGGGTAAGTGGTTTTATTAACCAATAAAGTAAAATTAAAACTTTGTAACACTTAAATTCCCAAAAATCAACTAATGTTTTGATTGAATTAGTAAATGTTTTTTGCCTAACAATTAGGCAAAGGTGGTCAAGCCAGCATTTCCTTGTTTATAATTAGGGGTTTCAGTGATTTTTAAATAATGAAAATAAAAAAATTTGCATACCATTGGATTCCACAGTCACAAATTAGTAGATTTACACTGCAAATTCCATGATGTAGTGCATATTTAATGAAGAATAATTAAAAATCATACCTGTTAATCAAACTTTTGCTCCATGCAGTCAGTGATTTATTGCTTTACCTGGTAACCAAATGCTGCATATTACCTGTGTCAAAGTAAGGTAAAATGTAATCCCATTAATGTCCATCCATTTCAAACTTGTACAAGTGTTCATATTATATGGATAAATGAAAATTGTCAATAACCAAATGTTAATAATGAAGTATGAGCTTAATTATGTACCTATGAAAGAATAGGTGAGATTTTGTAATTACATTGGTTGTAAACTTGAAATACGGTGGTTGACACATACATATCAGTAGTTACCTATACTCATTCTATGTCATGTCATGATGTAATTGATACATCATTCACAGCCACACCCAATACAGCAAATAGTAAGTATTGTGTCATGTAGCTCATTGTTGTTTTCTGCTTTTTTCTAGCTTCTAAACATAGCATTTTTTCTGTTATTGAAGATTGGAAACCCAGGTACTTGTAATAAGAGTCATTAAGTTGCTTCAAAAAAATTTTGCATCTACTCATTGTGTTGTCACAGCAATTCAAACAACAGTTTGGGTTAGGGATTGAGGATGTAAATTTCTATGTCACATCACCATATGATGCATTCCCTTAGAGGGCTTGCAGCAGCAGCTCACTCATTGAGAACTGTACTTCTTTATTTAATTAAAAAAAAAAGATTGAAGGAATTACATTAATACTATACTTTAATGAAGTGGTTGTTCATGCTTTTTCAATATGTGTGGCCACATCTTCTATCCAATATGAATATATGAAATATAACATTTTGGGACAACATGGGACCTATTGGTCCATTCCGGCTGTCCCATTCCCTAAACTAAACTAAAACTATTATTAAAAAGAAAAATCTTTAAGCCAGCCTTTATCATTCATATACTTATCAAGCTTTTTCTTAAATTTACAGCCTCCACAACAACCAAAGGTAAACCATTCCAAAAGCCAACCATGCTGTTAGAAGAATAAAATTGTCTTAGCTAAAGATGGCTCTTTCTCTGCTAAAATTTATATTTGTGTCCCCTAGTCCTACTATTCTCACTGTTAAGTGTGAAAAAAGATGATGCATCAACACTATCAATTCCCTTTACAGTCCTAACACCTCAATCATATCCCCTATAGCTCTTCTTTCTTTCTTTCTTTTTAATGAGAAAACAATTGTAGAGATTTCAATCTCTCTTTGTATGACAACCCCTCCATCCCAGGCACCATTCTGGTAACCCTCCTCTGAACCCTTTCCATCAATTCAATGTCCTTCCTAAGGTAAGGAGCCCAAGACTGAACACAATACTCCAAATGTAGGCTAACCAGCGACCTATACAATGAAATTACAACCTCTCTAGACATGTTGGTTGGCTTAAGAGACTGATCAACCATTACACCAAGATACCTTTCTTTTATAACACTGTTAAAGTTATTTCCATTCAAATTATACATATAATTAACATTATAATAACCCACATGCATTATCTTGCATTCATTATAACTAAAACCCATCTGCCATTTATTTGCCCAACTCACTAAATGATCTAAATTATTTTGTAAATCAGTAGCAGCATCTTCACAGCTAGCAATACCCAAGACCTTAATATCTTCTGCAAATTTAAGTAATTTATTGACCTTTCCTTCATCTATGTCATTGATGTAAATCAAAAAGAGCAAAAGTTCTAAGACTGAGCCCTGAGGTACCCCCACTTATAACATTAATCCAGTTTGACTGAACTCCATTTGTAACAACTTTCTGCTTTCTTCTATCCAGCCACTCTTCTCTCCAATGTGCTAACGATACACCACACCTGTAGAGATACTTTTTTACAAGCCTTGTCAAATGCTTCCTGAAAAAATCCAGATACACCAGAAATCTACACCCTTACTGTCATCTACATAAGTAGTAACCTTTTCGGAGAATATCAAAAGATTTGTAAGACAAGATCTTCTCTTAGTGAAACTATGTTGACTATCCAATAAAATTCTAAACTTTGTTAAATGGCTTTACAAAGCATCTTTTTTCAGACTTTCCAAAACTTTTCCAAGAAGTGATATAAAACTAATAAGCCTATAATTACTGGGACATTTTTTATCATCTCCCTTGTAAAGAGGAATTACATTAGCTAACTTCCAATCCTCTAGTACATGCTATCTATTCAAGGACTTGCAAAAAACAGTGGCTGACGTATCTCTAATCCTTTACCTCCTTCAAAACCCTTGAGGAAATATTATCTTGCCCAGGAGCCTTGTCATTCTTTATACTTTCCAATTTTTCCTTAACAGGCTTAGAATTAATGCAGTCATCTTGTTTGATCTTGTTTCCACCTATCAACTGTTTAAGATGTGAAATAATGCTTAAATCTTCGTTAATAAAAACTGAAGAAAACACGAAATTTAATAACCCAAACATCTCATAATCATCAGATATGAACCTTCCTTTATCATCCCGCAAGAGTCCTACCCCATCCTAACAGTTTGTTTATCTTTAATGTATTTAAAGAAATCCTTACTGTTAATTTTTACATGTTCAGACAACTTTTTTTGTACATCCTTTTTGATGTCCGAATTTCATGTTTGATGAACTTTCTTGATCTGTAATCTTCTAAAATTCTCGTCATACCAGTCAATGTAAATTTCTTATGCTTTTCTTTAATTTTATCTCTTGTAATCTTTATGAGCCTACCTGGTTTTTTTACTTACAGCTACCCTATTCTTTCTATAAGGAATATGTTTACCTCGATTATTTAAAAATTTTCCGCATTTGATCGGTGTCTCCAAATAACTCAGCTGCCCAATTCATAACAGATAATTCTTGTTGTATCCCTTCAGAATTTTTAGTTTTTGAAATTTGTAACCAAAATATTATTATTCCTTATCTCCATATGCAGCAAAACATTGAACCTAATAGAGCAATGAACACTTGCACCCAGATGCTGCCCAGTTTCCACTCTATTATTTCTATGTTTGAAGTTAACAATAAATCTGAAATAGCATTTTTTCTAGTAGGTTCCTTGATTAATTGGTGAAGAGAACCATCTTGAACAGTTTCCAGAAACCTTTCTCCCTCACTGTTTTACTCTAGGATTTCCCAATCTATATGCCTGAATTAAAATCACCCATAATTATGACTTCATTAACAGCTGAAATCTTAATCTCATTGTAAAGTTTCTCTCTAATTTCATCAGTATCACCTGGTGATCTGTAACAAATTCCCACTAAAAGCCTATTCCCTTTATATCCACTAATAGAAACCCAAGTGGATTCAATCTTCTTGCTATTATATTTGATATCCTCAAATTCAACAGGATGTAACTCACATTTTACATTATATAACCATCTCTCCTCCTCTGTTTAGTTCTCTATACCTATAACCCTGTATTTTACAGAAATACTTTTCATCCAAATCATCTACATTTAACCATGTTTTAGTTATTTCCATTATATCAAAATCTCCATTGCTACCAGTGTTCTAGTGTCATCTGTTTTATTTCTTATACTTCTGGCATTACAATAATAGAAATTAAGCCTACTCTTATAACTACTTCTATACTCATTCCTATGCTAAACTTTTCTCTGCCTCTTATTTCTTTTTACATTTAATTTATCCTGGCTCTCACCACTGTCTAGTCCTAGTTTAAAACTTTCCTTGCAGCTGAGTTAATAGCCTTAGCAAACAAGCCAGCTCCTATCCTATTTAAGTGTAAAACATCCATTCCAAAAAGCTCATTTCTTCCATTGAACTGATCCCACAAGTCCAACCATATTCAATACTAAATGTAAATGCCAATAGCCTATTCCCAACAGTGTTATTCTTAAGCCTGACATTTTAGAATCAGATATATTACAGTTTATCACTACTTTATGTTTACACTAGATTATTAAGTTTATCTTTCATTTTATAGCAGCAACAAATAACTAGTCTTTACATTATTTGATGCTTATGTAATTCTAATAATGACTAAAATTAATAGTAATAATACATTGTATTTAATGTGATCTAAATTCAAGTAAACAAAGTAATTCTTAAAACATGAGACAATGAACTAATCTTTAGATTGTATTTGGTTAATAAAACAATGTATTTAATACAGCTAAGCCTGAGAGTAAAATTATATGTCCTAAGCCTAATCTATTGTTGTAATACAGGTTATATCACAAAGCTCTTAATTAAAATTTTAACCCTACTATTTTTATTTACCAGTCTTACTAAATATAGTCAACCTTTTGTTATTCAACCCAAATCACTACAAGTGATAATATTATTATTAATGTTCAAAAATCTATAACCGCTTATCTTTCCGTCTTCTCTGTTTCATAGCACCCTCAAGGTTATGAATCTGGTGGAATCAGGAATCTAATATATTATCAAAACTACTGTTTTAAAGTATTGTAATGTTTGGATAGTTAAAGAACAATATGTACAAATATGCCAAACATAGGGGCTTAATGTCTAGTTATGTTATACTTAACTAAATTTCTCCATTGACCTACTATGGCCATTTATCAATGCAAATAGCACTCTTATTGTCATGGTGTATAAAGAGAAAATTCAAACCCCTTCATCCAAAGGTATCTACCATATCATATTTTTTGACTTGGATTTTTGAATGAGGTTTGGCCTTGTCTACTCTGGCCTTATTTATAGTGTCCTTATCAACTACTTTTCGATATTCCAAATATAATAGAGTTTTTGACTTTACAGTTATATCTAACCTTTTAAGATCCTTTTGCATTCTTCTGCCAAACCGGTCATATATACAGATGTTTCCTTAGTATCTTACCATCTAGCTAATGACAAGAACAATGATACCTATTTCCTGAAAAAGGATGATGTTATCAAATATGATTTCAGAGATAACTTTGAAGGGGAAATTTATTTGTTGTTGATCAAGATTTTCATGACAGTGTAGACTTTTTACATATAGGTCTTAAAATTGAAATGTCAGGTTATCTGAAGAAGGGGACAAAATCAGAATATGAAAGAGTAAATAAATTATTCCAGAATATTAACCAAACTTAGATGAGTTCTTGAGTTTGTGAGTGTAAAATTAACCCCTTCCATGTAAGGATTTTTTTTTGTGAATGAGCTAAAAAATAGTCAGGTTTTTTATTTTGCTTTTTGATAGCCTATTTTGATAATGTGAATAAATTTGGCCAAATTATTAAATATATAACAAGTCAATAGTGGACCCGATTTCACTCTGGCAAATATTATGTGAAACATGGAGGGTGCAGGAGTTATCTCAGGCAAATTACAGATGGAGTTACAAATGAAGTCCCTGGATAAAGTTTTGGCTGATTTGCAAATCTCTTACATTGGAGATCACATAAAGATTGTTTTGTGCATTGGATTTCAACCACCATAGATAAATACACAATAGAGAAGACTTTGTATGTTCCAATCAATTAAGATGCATGAGATAGAGTTGAATAAGAGAAGCTAACCTGACAAACTACTGTATAGCTGCTTATTACTGAGTTTACTGAGAATTGTCTTCATAGTTTAACCTCTAACATTTATCAGCTCAAATAGGCAGTGTTTTATGTTCATAAATATCTCTTAGACATTGATAGTTCCATCTTGTTCCTTCACAAGTATCACATGCTACAAATCAAACATCACGCACATCATGGACATCAAAGATCTAATCCTTGTTGGTCTGTTGGGTAATAGGATTAGTTGGTCACCCATTATGTACAGGACCAGGGACATTGAGATGCTGTATTAATATTGTGTTTATTTTGTGATACATGTAATAATATCACAATCACCAAGACACAGCCTTGTCCATTCTCAACACTGCCACTTGACTAAGATTCAGCTGACAAAAGTGATACAAAATACAGCTGATTAAATAACATTACTGAAGAATCAGTATGAGTGACGAGTAGATTACACAAAGCCAGAGTTTGTCTCAAAGTTACTAAGAAATGCACAGGGAACATATACTGATATATTTTTTGCATGTATAATTCATATGGACCATAAAGTGAAATTTAGTGATGTAACAACCTGTGCCCATGTTAATAGAATTATGCTATCAGGTATGTTAATAAAGTATAAATTTTTAATGGTAACTGTTTCAGAAGTAATTAATATAAGAAATGTACTCTCTAGTTAACATACAGGTGCACACTTTAATGGCTGCTGTCTTGGGAAGTATCAACTGGTGAGAATATTAGCAATCTGTCATACCTGCATTTGTGCAAGTTTTCATCCAAATCTGATATGGTTAGTTTTAAATCCTTATTGACATAGATCTTTTTATATTCAATATGAAACTATATAATGGCATTATACATTAGGACATTGGAGTAAGAAAACTATCTCTTGAGAGGTCAGTATTTGAGATGAACTTATTGATTTTTATAATTAATCATCAGCAAAGTAGCAAAAGCACCTGGTAGTAATAAATTTTTAACTTATTTGTTAAAATGAACAATGCAAAATTTCTTGGAGTTGATGATGTTTAGATGGGACAGTAATCTTAATTGAGAAGTTATAATATACTACAATATTTCTGTTGTGTTTATTCTGTTCATATTATATGCATTATTACAAGTTTTTAGTAATACTTGTTAGGTAATGATATTGCAAGCATTTTAACAAAAATTGACATATTTCAAAGAGTAATGAACTAGTGACATACTTTAAGAGCATAAATATGTTTATTTGTAGAAACAGAAATTAATATGTTGACCTAACTTCTGTCATTTTGTACAGATTCATAAGATAGTAAATACTTTTAATACCTGTTTGACTGGAATTTTTGGTAAGACCAACTTACAAGCATGTGTGTGTATAGAAATCAAGTTTGCTAAGTCTAAACTTAGTATTCATATGCTGTGTATACTTTACTTGCATTGTACTTGCTAGTACAAGTCTAACTGGACTGTACAGGTAGAAAAATTATCTAATCATTGTGAGTCATGTTTGTGAGGAAGAAAAATAAAAACCTTCAATAGATTTGTAACAAGTCTCAAAATGATAGATGTATTCATTTATTTTTGTTTTTATAACATGAAATCAAAAATTTAAAGTGTATATTTTCAGGGGTTGAATTATTATTAGAAAGATACATTGTGGCTTCATTGAAAAGCTTCTGGATAAAACCTTCCATACACTCTTCACTAATCAGCATTTTTATGTTTGAAAATAATTCAAATACACTGTGAAGTAGCTTCTCAAGTTGCTTCTGTTTTTAAGTTACTTATTAAACTTGTATAACTAGGCTTTTCCTATTGGTACCAGGTCACATGCTTACTACATTCATTTTTTTCCCATACTTGTAACTGAAAAAGACAATTTTTTTCTTAAAGTGATTTGTATCACTTTGAATAAAGTTTTGCAAAAAAAATTAGAAATATTCTATTTAATTATGTAGTGGGAATATATCAGCTTTTTGAATGTGTCATTTTGAATCTGATTGTAATTGTGCAACTCTCTATCTATATCATTTAAAAATCTAAATAGTTTTTGTTTTTGAACGAACATTTCTTACAAACCAGGTTTTCATATAAATGTTATCTATAAATTTGAAAAAGATTAATTAATGTAGTTTAAGTATTTAAGCACATTTTTGCCTATGTAATGTAGAACTTTTGCATTGCTTTATTGATATTGGAGTATCATTGCTTTTTTACTAAAGTTTGTGGTTAGATACTTAAAATGAATGAATTTTTGATTACTGAATGAGGCTCAGAGCATAAACTTACATGAAATAGGCAAAACACTACACATCGCAATATATAAATAAAATTCATGTATAGTTAGGTATTTAGTAAAGTATTATGCCAGCTAAACAGCTCCTAAAGTATTCCTACTGGTTTTCTGGTGACTCCAAATAAGCATTGGGATTATGCCAGGACAAATATACCAATCCTTTTGTAAAAAAAAAAAGAAAATAAAATGCAAAATTAAAAAAGTGAAGTTGCCAAATTAAGCACAACAAAAAAAAAACCTGAAAAATTAGAACTTACTTTTTCAGGGCTTAATATACAAGATGCATTGACTGGTTCAAAATTGCACAATACATAGCAAGTAATCCTCAAACAGTGGTTTGAAGGTTAGCTGGACTAGAAATAACATCTGAAAATGGGAATTTAAGTATTTTTTAACTGTTATTTGTACAGTTTTGCTAAAGTTTGGTTTCCAATTTTTTATTTTTTAAGAATTAATTATATAAATTAAATTTCATAATATATGTTGTTCTAAATGAGTTTAATAAATTAAAAATCAAATCCAGAGAGTTAAAGAAAAAGACATAGAATGTTTCTGCTTCAAAGTATACATTGTGTAGTCTTCCTCAAAATTTTAAGTGCAAAGACATTTATCTGAGTGATCATGCTGCATAATATTTTTAAAAATGCACAGATGACAAATATGAGTAATGGTTTACATTTGAGTAATTGTAGTGATTTTAATTGTTATGAAGTGGCTAGTGAAACTTGAGCTGTATTGTAACTGTAGCTTTTTTTTTATTTGACAGACCCTAATCAACATGGCTTACTGTTGTTTGATCCTAGTTGGGAAGTTCATACAAAAGTTGGTGTTTGGTGAACTGCGAGTATCAGAACAACAGGTACTACTTTCATAATTTGAATTTAAGAACTTAAACTACTTTATCTTTTAAAATATCACATCCTGTTTTTTATTTATGTATATAGCAATATGTTAAGTCTCTAAAACCAAATTTGCTTAACTTTTTAAACATGTAATTATTTGTGCTTTCTGTCAGAATTATTTTCATGTCCCAACAATTATCATCATACCTTATAAAATTTCCAGTCTATTTATAAAGGTGGCTAATAACATGGTTTGGATTATTTTTTAGCCAAAGAGATATAAATGTTTTTGGACACTGTCCGATAGGTAAATCAGGATTTTTGGCCAGATGCTAGAAGTGTCCACTCTAGTTTAAGAAGTTAATGAAAGATACATTTTTGTGATTCATTTAATTTTCTCTATGGTAATGGTTTGCTTCTGTTTTTATTTTGTTTTTGCTCATTTTCTTTTCATTTGATGATAACTATTGTATGTAAAGAAGTGAATCTCATTAAAACTCCTTGCTTATAAAAACATTAAAAATTAAATATCACTCTTCTTTTATAATATAACTTCATAATTTTGTACATAAACTATTTTTAAATGTGTATTTTGATAAAAAAAAAAAAACAATTATCATAGATTTTATTTATAACTTTGAGAAAGTGTATCTGCCTTATCTACTTATTGTTTTTGAGGTCAAAGTAGTTAGCCAGAACCTGTTTTAAAATCTATTTTCAAATACGTTAAACCATACATGTTATGGACAAACTTTTTTTTTTTTATACATACATAATGTTAGGAAAAGCATTCTGGCCAAACCTGATGTTTTAAATTTTCAAAGGTCTAGTTTACCTCCTTCTGTAATTGTTGTGTATGTATTCATCCTAATGTAAGATTAATTTGTGTACTCATTATCATTAAAAAGTAGTGTTATTCATAACCTTTTTTTGGAGAAAAATAATTTGTCAGTTATGAAAGCAAATACAAAAACTTCCATTGTTAAATTTATTTCCAACCAAAAGCATAGCACATTGTTTTATTCCAAATTTGTATCATGATAGTAATTTTTTTAGCTCATAAAATTAAGCTATTATAAGGTTTTTGACTCATCAGGTGGCAATTTTTATTTTGATTGAAATTAATAATTTAATGTCTATTTCATCTTTTAAGTATTTCTTAAAGATTTTTTTTACTAACCTATAAGGCTTCATGAAGTTAATAAAAATTAGTTATATTTAGTTCCCTTTTTTGATCTTTTTAGGATTAATGATTGTCAATGCTTTACAAGAACTACATGTTATATAACAGTGTTTATTCTGACAGATAACAGACTTAGAAAGTTGTTAAAGCCTACAGCTTGAATTGCATCTTTGCAATATGCACAGAACAAGTATAAAATAAACTACTTCTGTATTTGCTATAAAGATTTGGTGACCAGATATCAGTCATTGCTACTGTTATAGTATCAGTAGCACTTGTAGATTTAAAAATAAATGAACTGTGCTGTTTTGCTCATTCAGTCCTGGTTTAAGTCTTTTTATCAGTAGACTTTCATTTATACACAGCTATTGTTCCCTGTTCAGTACCTCAAAATTAGTGATAGCATATGGAAAAACTGTCATAAAACTTGTGGTATTTTAAGATAAATATCAAGTACAATGACCAAACAAAATTTGTCACAAATGAGAAGAAAAATTTGTACGAATTTTTCCCTTTTATAATTAATATGTACACTCTCTTCACATTTTATTTTGAACACTTGTGTCAGTCTGTTAACACATTTTTGCCACATACATGAACGTTCTAAACTAATGAGTATTCTTATACTTTGCACGGAACTTTGAAATGAACAAGTCAAAAACATCATATTGTTTAGTCTACATGTACCTCTACTCAACTGCTATTGTATTACTGAAGATACAGAGAGCCAAAGTATAGAATTTTCATAGCTCATTGGTCACATGACAATACATCTGAAGTTTTAAGTAGTTTTTAAAGTTTATTTTGAAATAAAGGACTTAAAACTTGGATAAAATAAAACTTCGTATCATAACACACATACATTGATATTAAAGGTGTTTAATTGAATTTTGAATGTTACACTGACTTGTGCAGAAAAGCATTTGTGAAAGGGTTAAGTGCATCTTTAAGTGAAAGAATCTTTAGAATGGACAACAGCATTTGCTATGGTGTTGTCTTAATTAATGCACTTAATACAACAACTCTATTTCTTTCTTTTTTTACCATGGACTTTGTCCTTATTTTAAGGAGTGTTGTTTTCCTCTATGAAGATTTTAAATTGTCCTTGATTTATTGATTTATTACACTCTTTCAGTTTGTTTCTTGCTATTTGAAAAGACTATGGATTTTAAATTTGTATGTTCTTAAATGCAAACTGTTAACCATCTAGTAGAATCCAGTATAACCTGATAAGGTATGTTAATGTAAGTGTCCTATATAATTATATATTTCAGAAGACGTTGTTAAGCCTATTATATTTTTTAGCACTACTTTCGTAATTTAGTCCCTTATAGATTTTCAAGAATCTGAAGAGTATATAATAATAGTATTTTAACCACACTATATTTGTTATGTCCATTACAGATGACACATTTCACTTGATGTACAGCTAGGCCAGCTGGGATACAACAAACATGGTAAGGGTTGGATGATACTTATATAAGTCTGTTGTTACAACTATTTGCTGTATCCCAGATAGGCCTGAAGAGCTCTGGATTGAGAGAAATGTATCATCAGCAATGGATATGAAGAATATAGTGTGGTCAAATACTATTGTTATACGCTCTTTTAATTCTTGAAAATCCATAAGGGACTAGATTAAGAATTCAATGTTAAAAATATGATAGGCCTAACATAATGTCTTATGACAAATATAATTAATTCTATTATGTTTCACCAGCTTCTAAAAGGTGTTCATACCATAGCAAATGCACTAAATGTTTTTCAGATTATATTGGATCCACTAGTAAGTGGTTAACGGTTTGCCACAATAACATGCAAATGTATGGTCCACATCATTTTCAAGCATCAAGAAATGTGCATAATAAGAGAAATGAGACTATAAGTAGTCTTAAAGTAGAGGGCAATTTTAAGACAAACAGGAGTTGAATATAAAGGGAAATCTATTGATCAGTAGGCTTACAGCAGTACTGAATGAGCAAATAGTGCAGCCTGTTTGTTACATATACAATCACATAAGTAATTAGTGAATAGCTGCTCTTTTTTTAATATTCTGAGAAGGATTGAGTATGGAGGCCTGAGCTTGGTTTTAAACCTTAGCATCCTTTTCAGAAATAGACGTGCTATCATTTCACAAAGATAAGATATGGGAAAATTCAGGTCTTACGAAATTTAGTTGTATGAATCCACATACTGTGACATTATACATTTGAATTACTGTATGTTGTAATTTGAAGTTGTGCTAAATTTATAATTTAAATACTGTTCTTAATAAGTTTAGTTACCATTATGTGATTTTTTTTTCCCACAGCATATCAAAGACAAGTTTTGGAATTTTGTCTTTTACAAGTTTATTTTCATCTTTGGAGTTATGAATGTCCAGTTCATGGATGAAGTTGTTCTCTGGTGTGGTTGGTTTTCTGTCTTAGGATTTCTTCACCTGCTTTCTCAGCTCTGCAAGGACAGGTTTGAATATGTAAGTTTTATCACCATTTGTGTGCATTTCATTTAGTCACATTTATTAGTATCAACTTGGACTTAAGTTATAAATTTTAATGAAAGGTTATCAAGCATCTTGTTTATAAGTACTTGGAGATACATATGTTTCTATTACTAAGAAGTCTAAATGATAAAAGATATTTACAGCCTAAGAAAAATTTACAAAAATTAAATGTTGTGTATCAAATAATGTGTGTGTTTCAGAGTTATCTGTTTTTGTAAATAACATAACGTACCAACAACAAGGGACCGTTTAGTCCTTCAAGGGCATCCTTGCACACTCATCCTTAAAAAAAGTAAAATTCAAACTAACCCTTTATTTTTTAAGAAATCATCAATTCTCATCTTAAAATTGGACCTTTCTCCTATCAACTCATCACTCCCTATGGATAATCTTGTAAACTTCAATAAGATCACCTCTTACCCTTTTCTCAAGAGAAAAATAAGAGATCTTAACTTATTCACTATAAGATAACCCTTCCTTCCCTGGAAATATCCTAATAGCCCTCTTTTGAACCTTTTCCAATAGTTCAGCATCCTTTGTTAGATAGGGAGACGCTACATATAATATTGCAAGTGAGTTCTAACTATTTATTTTTATATAGGGAGAATTACCTCTGTTGATTTGTAATCAGTATGTCTATAAAGACACTTAGCTTTACTGTGGGTAACAAAGCACTGTTTAAGTAGCTTAAGTGACTTACCACTATGCTGGGATCCTTTTCATCAAGCATGCTGATAAATGGGTTCCCATCTATGTTAAAAATGTGATCCAAATGATAAACTAAATTTATTGTCTTGCACTTACTACAATTAAAGGTCATTTACCAAATATTTGTTCAATTTTCCAAATGATCCACGTCATTCTGTAATACACCCACATTACTAGAAATACTCAATACATATTTATTAATTAACTAATTACACCCTCATTAATATCTTTAAAATAAGCAAGAAATGGCATAGACCTGAGCAGTAACGCTGCAACACTACTAGTAACAAGAGTCCAGATTGACTGGACCCCATTAACTCTTTCAGCATGGTCTCGGTCCCTTGGACCAAACTGATAAACAGTTTTTGCTTGTTTTAGTTTTCATGCTATAACTTTTAAATTGGTAAGTGAATGTTAACGAAATTTGACAGATTATCAGTGAACATTACAATGCTTTCATAAGCAAAATATCAAATTTTTGTTATTTAGTCTTAAGGTTTATAAAACAATGTTTTTTTTGCACCTTTTTTTTTCTCTTCGCATGTTGCCTATCTATCATGCAAAGTAATATTCATTTTCAGATTAAAAATACTTTTATGCATCAGAAAATTTTGAACTTTCCATGTGACATCATTATAATGTCCAGATAATTATCAAACATTTCTTAAGAAAAACTTTATATTTTATGTTATTTTCAGTAATTAATCTCTGTACGGGTTTGGTAGATTTGACAGATCTTGCAACCACCATAAAAAAATTAGGAAATAAATATAAGTCATGCCTCTTTCATTCTAGAATGACTACAGATTATAACATGAAAACATATGTTTAGACTAAATAGCTTGAATCTCATAACATTATACATTTATATATATTTATTATTTTTATTATATTGACCTTTCAGCCATGCCTTCGTAAAATACAGTCAC